GAGGTGAACGACTGATAATATTCAGTCACCCCCCACGAGGGTGTCATGTGGCACAAGGCCTTTTTAACGTGGGCATTCCCGAGCCATTAGGCTCGGTCAAAAAGCCCATTTGAACCCGCATAAACGGGTTCTGGGCCGATTTAACCTCCCCGAAGGAGACTCCGCCCTTCGGCGTAGCCTCCTTCGGGTTCCTCTCGCCCGTAGGAAGAGAGTTGAACCGAACAGTCAGTTCAGAGGTGAACGACTGATAATATTCAGTCACCCCCACGAGGGTGTCATGTGGCACAAGGCCTTTTTAACGTGGGCATTCCCGAGCCATTAGGCTCGGTCAAAAAAAAGCCCATTTGAACCCGTATAAACGGGTTCTGGGCCAGAGCGACATCCCGAAGGAGACTCCGCCCTTCGGCGTAGCCTCCTTCGGGTTCCTCCCGCCCGTAGGAAGAGAGTTGAACCGTGCAGTCAGTTCAGAGGTGAACGACTGATAATATTCAGTCACCCCCCACGAGGGTGTCATCATGCACAAGGCCTTTTAACGTGGGCATTCCCGAGCCATTAGGCTCGGCCAAAAAATAGCCCATTTGAACCCGTATGAACGGGTCCAGGGCCGGTTTTACCTCCCCGAAGGAGACTCCGCCCTTCGGCGTAGCCTCCTTCGGGTTCCTCCCGCCCGTAGGAAGAGGTGAAACCGAACAGTCTGTTCAAAAGTGAACGACTGATAATATTCAGTCACCCCCCACGAGGGTGTCATGTGGCACAAGGCCTTTTTAACGTGGGCATTCCCGAGCCATTAGGCCCGGCCAAAAATAGCCCATTTGAACCCGTATAAACGGGTTCTGGGCCGGTTTAACCTCCCCGAAGGAGACTCCGCCCTTCGGCGTAGCCTCCTTCGGGTTCCTCCCGCCCGTAGGAAGAGAGTTGAACCGAACAGTCAGTTCAAAAGTGAACGACTGATTCCTTGCCTACTCCTGAGGCGCAGTATTTGTTAAGTATGGAATAGTCCATTATTATTATTATGGGTAAGATCCCATAACACTTTTCTTTAGTCTTTTAGAATCCCTTGTTTTATTAGCAGATGCATTTTTTTACCAAGCATTATTTTTTTATTATTTCATCGATAAAGACTACACTACAACATATGATAAAATCATGTTAAAGACAATTAATTCTCATGTAACGAGAATCTTCTTGATAGGCATTTGGTGGTATGCCCAATAACGTAGGTCCTTAAGGGTCATATGAATACATAAATGATATTCGTTTTCTAAAAAAAGTACGAGAGATAAATTAGCAACAGACTCAATGAGATATCACTAGATAAGGACATTGGAACAAGAAAAATTTCTCTCTGTAGATCGAAATTTCTGTTTGTTTCTTCGATAGTAGATTAGAAAGTTAGCACGTGTCATTTCCTCATATAACCAATGGACCATTCTGTTTTCATTTCGAGGAAATTCTGAAGAAAAGAAGTGTTATTGGAAACGCCGTTAAGTTTCAGTGAGACAAAAAGAAAAATGAAAATACGCTCAAAAAGAATGGGAGGAGGCGATAACGCGTTTAACGCCGGCTTTAGTAAAAAGAAAAACCTTATCAATTTTGAACCTTTTCATTTGTACCCCCTTACTTCTTTAAATAATGCCGTGCATTGATACTTGTCATTTTTATTGCAATATGTTATTCAACTTGTTAGGCTAAAATATTCTACAATGCAGTAGGGGAAATTCCACGGGTATTTTATAGTCGTGGACCTCAATATTTTTCAATCAATAAACTAAGAATTATCTTTCGTCAAAAAATGAAAATAGGAAAACCGTGAAAATTTCGCAGATGCTATTAGTATTTCTTAATACTATGGTTGAAAACAGCTTACTGTTACAACTTTATAATCGTTTCTACGCTAATTATCTATGCGAATATATCGATCTTAATTTCAAGGACTGAATACGCACATAGATATTAAGAAGAAGATAAGAAAACCTCCTCTCGTTGAAACCGGAATAAGCAAAAACACGTTACTGCGCAGGAGGCTCTGCGCACAACTGTCGTTTGAAATATACGTATATATCACGCGATCTAAAAGCCCGCATCTACGAACACAAGAGAGACTTGCGTTTAGACAAACGATCTAACTCTCTCGTTTTGCAATGAAACTATGCTGGACCTGACTTTGATCTCACTAATGCCGCCCTAATTAAAAAAAAAGAACATAATTATTTAAGGAGAAAATACATTGAAAACTTAATAACATTATTATCATCTATAAAAACACGCCTAAAGCAATACATTATATCGTCATCTATCTTTAATCTATTCTTAAAGAATCTAAATTATATCTAATACAAAGGGCACACGATTAAAGAGATCAACCACAGATTAGAACGAAGTGGTACCCCGCTGCTCTAGCTGACCGCACAAAGGTGAAAACATTAGAACTTCCACTAGACAGACAAACATGCGCAGTTACGAATATACATTACCATCCGATGCCCACTTAGACATACACGAATCTTCACAAACTTACATACATATAGAATTATCTACGGTTTTAATGCACGTGATATGTGACTGACCAATGAGAACTGACCCAAACAAAATTGAAAATACGAGAGTTTCTCTATTTTTGCTTGTTTTCTCTCACTCTCTGACGAAGCTTTAATAAAAGTGAAACATGTTAGATTGAGATAAGTTTCCTATTTGTTCTTTATTTTTTTATATAAAATTGTATATATATATATATATATATTAATATATTTCAACCAATTACGATTTTCTCGGTAAAAATGAAATTAATGTTTCCAATCAACTTGGTACAGATAAATTCAACTGATATCAGCACTCAGGCCAACGTGAAATTACATCTTTCGGCGTATCTACTCCAGTAAACATTGGTCGGCGCAGAAACTACTTTATGAATATACAGTGCCATGCAAATAGTGAACAGGCTGCAAAGATATTTCACCCTAAGAAAACTCTCACACATACCTTACAAGTCCACTGCCTTTTCTGCTGATGTACGTGCAAATATTTATGTACGAATGAAACCATCCTAAAAGTCATTTACTGAGATTTAAACACTATTTGTGAGATATTTTGTTTCTATGTCGAAAATGTTTTATGGTTGGTATTCTATAAACTTTGTCATCGTTTTTATTTTTATATTTAGAAAAAGAATGTATTTGAGAATATTATGCATTAGTAATAACGTTTAAATCTTTATTTTAGAGTAACAGACGAGGATAGATAGATAGATAGATAGATAGATAGATAGATGTAATGTTCTAGTTATTTACAGACATGTAAAAAAGAAATAGATGAACATAATGATTTAGTTACTTACACACATATGTAAAAAAGATAGATAGATAGATAGATAGATAGATAGATAGATAGATAGATAGATAATATAAACAAAATGAGAGAGAGAGAGAGAGGAAGATGGATAGATAAATGAACATAATGATTTACTTATTTACACATATATATGTAAATAGAAATAGATAGATAGATAGGAACAATCTGAGATAGATAGATAGATAGATAGATAGATAGATAGATAGATAGATAGATAGATAGATAGATATAAACAGAATGAGAGACAGAGAGAGAGAGGACTATGGATAGATAACTGAACATAATGATTTAGTTATTTACACATATATATGTAAATAGAAATAGATGGATAAATAGGAACAGTCTGCGATAGATAGATAGATAGATAGATAGATAGATAGATAGATAGATGTGAACAGAATGAGATATAGGTAGATGGGGAGGGAGAGAGAGAAGAAGAAGGATTGATAAATGAACATAATTATTCAGTTATTTACACATAGATAGATAGATAGATAGATAGATAGATAGATGTGAACAGAATGAGATATAGGTAGATGGGGAGGGAGAGAGAGAAGAAGAAGGATTGATAAATGAACATAATTATTCAGTTATTTACACATAGATAGATAGATAGATAGATAGATAGATAGATAGATAGATAGATAGATAGAGCGACGTACAATTGGACATCCTCCTCTATAAAGTTCTCTAAGCAGGAGGGCGTTCCCTAGTAAATCATTGTGATTCTTGGCAAGTTCAGACAGATAATTTCATTATGTTATCAATAATGATTTTGTTATATATCCTTCAATATCAGTCAATTGTCATGACTTTCCCGTTGCTTTCTCCACGTTTTTGAATTCAGAGATATCCTTCTTGACAGGCTGCCAACCAAGGCTAAGGAGCTCTATCTGCTTAGCTATTTCGCTTAAGTTAAACATGCATAAACAAGCAGTTTATATATAGTGTGTCGTGTCAGATTACAAAAACTATTTCACAGTTTGTATTTCATAGGTGTCCTTCGTCAAGAATGGCTGCCATCCAAGTCGAAACAAACCATTTCTATTTCTACTTTGCTATTTCAACCATTTCTCTGATTAAATATATTTTGAATGGAAGAACAATCGGAGTAGATACAGTCATCGGGTCAGATTACAATCTGTCCACCATAGTTTCGAAATAAGAATTGCCCTTTTCCTAGACCGGCAACCAATCTATGCTAGAAAACTGTTGGGGTCACCCACCTTCTCTTGAGAATGTACTGATCTCTCTACAATATAGGACAGTGCTAGAGAGTTCTGGGAGAGATCAGGTGACCATCACACTTCCGTCTCTTTACCGGAAGATACCGTTGGACTTTAGATTCTTTCTGATTGTTACTGACTAACTTGCGTTCGTTTTACTACTAATCTCTCTGTTGTAAATACCTCTTCAAATATACCAGTATTTTTCCCTACGTATGTGTTTGTCCTTATTTCAATACACGCACGCGAAAACACTCCCAACATCTCAACAAAAACCCAGTCTACGTTGCTATTTCATTTAGTGGTGGGATTTCTGGTGGTATGATTGCTGTAAATAATAGTAATAATGTAATTGTGGTATATGTTGTTGTTTTTGTTGTTATTGTCGTTTTTCTTCTTCTTCTTCTTCTTCTTCTTCTTCTTCTCTTGAAACACCGGTTCTCGTTCGATCACTGAAGTTAAGCAACGTCGTACCTGGACAGTAACTAAATGGGTGACCGCTTGTGAATACCAGCTTGGATGTGCGAGTGTTGTAATGAATAATGGCTCAGAATGAGAAATAGGACTCTAAAGGTTGAATTCCAGTCGGGTTCTTTATATTCATTTAAGTGCTGACACATTTGGCAAAGGTATGAATCCACTTCTTCTCCCTAGCTAAGGGTTAAATAGTAAGAATAGTACATGAAAGACATTATTATCTGTAACAAACATTTAATAAAATATTCATTCTCAAGAAGAAAAGAATAATAATACTTACAATCGAAAAAGATATATTTCCTGGGTAAGACGATAAACTACATCCGACAGCAAGGCATTTGATCATGTTTTGAGGAGCGTGGAACCACCTCTTAATTTCTGTGGTTCCCAGGTCCACCCTGAGGTGGTAGCACCTGTTAGGGTCCAAGATATGGACAAATTGTTATCCCGCAAACACTAATAAAGTGTAAAAATAGGTTTTTATACCAGCAATACGTTTTTGTAAAAAAATTACCAGCAATAAAGTTTTGAACAAATAATTATTACCAGCAATGCATTTTTGAAAAAAAAATATTACCAGCTATAAAAAATCTTATCGGCATTAAATAACCCATTGAGGTTGATATACCGTAAAACAAAACAAACCAAACCAAGGCCAGCAACTTTTTGATAGCAGCGATGGCGATAATGAAAATGTCAGGAAAATGCTGTATGTATATTCCATCTTCCATCAGTTCGAAGAATTAAAACTCAGTGGTCACCAATTCATATATGTTAACCCAGCCAAAATTTGCACAGGAGCCTAAAATAAATAAATAAATGATAATTATTAAAAAAAAAAAAAAAACTATTTCGTTTACATTATGGACACGAAAATAAAGTTAGCTGACATAGGATTCGAAACGTCCCCAAATAGATTTGCATTTTTTAAAAGAGTAATTGATATGACAATTTGCGACAAGGTTTCTCATGGCTGAACGATTAAAACCACATGTAGCATAAAGCTCGAATTCACAGAAGACAGGTTCGATTTATGCTGAGAGGTACGATTTCTATAATTAGACTTTCAATTGCCTATGCGAAGAAACGTCCATTTCAATGTTTAAAAATTATATGTCTACTCAATAAATAAAACGGTTATAGTAATAAGAATGTATATATATATATATATATATATATATATATATATATATATATATATATATATATATAGTTAAGTTATGAAGAACTTGGTAATCCGTATGGGTAATCCCAAGGAGGATGAAATTCTGAGAGCTCAATGTAAATCCAGAGCTAATATTTTAAAGAAAAACAGACCACTTTAAGGTACCATTATGATAACTTATTTCACCAGAGCCTTTTTAAAGGACGTCGGATCATCAGATAGCACTTCCAAAAATGAAATGAAACGAAAAATGAAATTAAAATTGATGGATAGTTTTAATTTCATGTTTCGTTTCATTTCATTTTTGGAAGTGCTATCTGATGATCCGACGTCCTTTAAAAGGGCTCTGGTGAAATAAATTATCATAATGGTACCTTAAAATGCTCTGTTTTTCTTTAATATATATATATAGAGAGAGAGAGACTTAAAATGTGCTATATTTATGGGATAAAGTGCTCAATATTAGAGATAGAGCGTGTGTAAATATAAAAGTGAACATTGAAGTCAACAGAGGCGACAGTCTGTTTCATGCCCGTAGCTTGACGATTGCATCTTATTGTCGCCTCTAAGTGTTGATTTCTATGTTCACTTTTATATATATATATATATATATATATATATATATATATATATATATTACTAGCAATTAATTTTTGAAGAAAAATGTATTACCAGCAATAAAGATATTGTCGGCATTAAATAACCCATTGAGGTTGATATACCGTAAGACAAAACAAATCAAACCAATCAGATTTAAACAACCTAAAAAGATTGATAAACCATTAAAAACAATCAATCTTCTTTTAGTGGTGGCATTTTCTTTGTGTGAGTGAAAACACTTTAAAATTACAGCCATTCTGAAAAAGAATCATATTTTTCAAATCCATTCTCTTGAAAATATAAACTCACTATTTATATTCCAAAAAGGTTCTTTTGAATAAGCTTTCAAATTTTGTCTTCTATTATTATTTTTTATCTATTTTTATCTTTGAACATTCAACAATTATTTATTAACTCTGCTTAATGGTAATAGGAGCGCGGCTTCACTTTTGACCCTGACAGCTGCAACTGTCAAGTCAGGGGACAGTGAATTTGATATGCACGTGTATTTGGTATCAGCCCTTACTTGGTTGGACTTATGAGGCGTGAAGTTACGACAACCGACGAGAGTAAGGAGCCACACATTGCTCCAGGAGATGAACCAAAAAAGGAGGGACAAAAACTTGTATTCATACTTTATATATATATATATATATATATATATATATATATATATATATATATATATTTTTAAATAAAAGCAGACCACTTTAAGGTCAGTTTTTATTTAAATTATTTGCTCTCAGATTTTATCACCTTAGGTTTACCCATACGGATTACCTAGTTTTCATAAACTATATATATATATATATATATATATATATATATATATATATATATATATATATATATATATATATATACTTGCAGCCACACAGAAAAAGCGTTTAATTAGAATGGAGCAAAAACAGCATCATGTTTAGATGTAACAGAGTGTATCTTCTTCAATTACGTGAAAATACATAAAAAGAACCATTTTGAATTAATGCAGTTACTGATATAACACATGTAGTCTGTGTTTATTCAGTCGAAGTTAGCCGAGGGTATGAAGAGGCAACATGAAGACCCACTTCAGACCACAATTATTTTGGAGGTTTTGAATTTTAATTCGTCAGTGTGATACCAGGGATATAAAAGAGGTTACATTTATAAAGCAATTGTTAACTTTGATGAAAATTGATTGAAAGATCAACGAAAAATAAGAAAGAAACCAGTAAAAATCGCCATTTTTTGCTATTTACGCGGGTTAACACTATCTGGGTGGACTCAATTATCAAGTTAAATGACTGTTAAACAATCAACTTATTGTTGGCTACACTTGAGTGAAATTTGTATTAGATTACTTCAAAACTGATGGAGCTTTTAGTTTAAAATTTGTGTTGAAATCGATTTCTGTTGAAACTGAGTTTGGACGAAATCGGAAGAAAAAAGTAAAAATTTATCGATTTTTGATCGGCTTTATCGATTATTGATTTTTAAATATTATCCTTTTTTACGCTAAGAGTTTGTCTCTTACATTGTACAATGTATGTGCCAAGTTTGGTCAAAGTCATTTGGATGGATCTCAAGTGAAAAGGTATCACATAGACAAACACACAGACATCCTTTGTTTTATATATATATATATATATATATATATATTATATATATATATATATATATACCCACACTTATGTTTATGTGCCGTTTAAACGCCCTTTGCAGCTGCTTATTGCGGGTAAGGATTCTACTTTCTGGGTTGATATTCGTAACACGACCCGCACAGTAGAGATGCGATTAAGCTCCTGGTTTTGAAGGGCTATTCATCACAAATCATTTTGGAAGAAGCCAGGGTTGCAAGGAGCAGATGCGCCATCCTATCGTATTGTTAATTACAATCACCGAGTTTAGTGGAAACGGACCCTCTTTGAATGAGTCATTGATGTTAAAACGTCCAACAATTGTGTAATGTCATCTGAAGCGATCGCTACATAAACATTCGGGAACTCACTGGGTAAAAAATTGACTTTAAAATAATTGGGTGAAAAATTACAGCCGTGTAGGTTTTTCTTTTGCTCACACGGAAACCATTGTAATGTGTTCCCTTGAACATTTGGCTATATGTCAGGAAAACAACCTTTTCGCTCGACTAATTACACGAGATGAAATGTGGTTCATCACTTTGAACCAGAGACTAAAGCAGACACCAAACACTGGACAAACATTGATTCTCTATCAATTAAAAGGCATGTGTCTAAGCCAGTGATAGTCAGGTGATTCTCTAGAAACTATTACAAAACAAATACTGTAGATTTCCTGGCCCGTACAAAAACGATAGGAAGAATTTACGATTCTTAATTGCTGTTGAAATTACCGGAAGGCTATCAAAGCACATTGGCGTGGAATGCTCAATAAAGCTGACCGGAACTATGCAATAACGGAAGCATGATTCTGTGACCCGGATATTCTTTCTCACCCCTTATTCTACTGGCAACATATATATATATATATATATATATATATATATATATATATATATATATATATATATATATTTGTTTTCTTTCTTCCCAGAGAATCACCTCGCTATCACTATATATATATATATATATATATATATATATATATATATCAAGAAGAGGTTATAGTGGTTGCAACGAGAGAAAAGTGTGTATATTAAAATGAAGAGAGATACCGTTTTTGGCTGTAATGTGGATTTTTTATTTTTTTTATAATAAAATATTATGCTTTATTTTCCATAATTTTACTACACGTGTTCCTGGTCTCGCGACCGTCATCAGGTAAAGGGTGGGGATTTCCACATATTATTAAAATAATTCATTTTTTGCTCCTTTATGTTTTCCGATGTTAAATATTCTCGATATGAGACATTCTCTTTTTATGTGTGATTAATCCGAATTTCCTTCTTGAACTGGCAGTGAAGTGTTCTGCGCGAAGGTGAGGGAATATACGCATATATACACGCATGCTGATAGAAACACACGTGTAGTAAATTTACGGAAACTAAAGCATAATATTTTGTAAAAAAAAAAATCGACATTACAACCAAAAACGTTTGCAATATCTCTCTTCTTTTTAATATATATATATATATATATATATATATATATATATATATATATATATATATATAATATTAGTGGTCAATAAATATATATATATAAATTTCCAAGAGGATAGAATCCAGGTGGAGCTCAATGTTCAGGAGAGAGGGCAAGAATATAATCTAAAAGGATCAAACACTAATATTCCATAGTTATAATTTATTACAT